ATTAATATCTACTTTTTGGTATTTGTATGCATTGAATTAATCTTATTGGACGGCTAGTTATTTATATGTTTTTGAATTGGGCTACGTTAATTTGTAAAAGTTACGAATGAAATGTCATTAGTTGTATTTATGTAGTGTTGCTGAAAATATTAAAAAATTTAATTATGGTACAGAACCGAACGGAACCGAACCAACCTGAACGGAACAGAACCGAACCCGAACGGTTCTATAATTATATTTGGACCCGAGGGTCCATTTATTAAATACCCGAAAGTTTTGGGTCGGTTCGGATCTCTTAAAAATCGAATCGAATCGACTCACGGACAGCCCTATCAAAAAATAGTTTAGCAGAAAGCCTACGATTACCATTCCATCAATATGTACAAATAAATATCATATCACGTGTATGAGTAACAAACATTTTAAAATTAAGTAACATAGGAGAATACCAATCATAAGTTCTAACCATACCTTTAAATCGAAAAAGTCATTTGAAACTTTTCAACCACTCATTCGCACAATAAAATATTCTGCATGTAAATTCAAATTTTTTCTATATTTTTGAAGTACACATTCTCTAAAAATTCACCATTCAAAATATTATTTTTCTCAAATAATTTCCATCAAACAAGGACTAAATCCATCAAATAGTAATAAAATTAAAATATAATATAAATTAATTACTTTAAATTTCTCTAACCCTGGTTTGATCCCCATTTTTTCTAAAATAAGTTTCTCTTTTGTTTTCAATCACACATTTTTTAATAAAATAATATTACACGTAAATTCAGATCAACCCTCATTCATCTACTATTATAAAATACATTGTACACAAAAATGGGGTTGAGACCGACCCTTATAAATGGGAATAAACATTAGATCATACTAATATTTAGGACTAGATTTGTAATACAATACGAAATATATATATTTCAAAGAACATTTTCCATGTGCACGAAACGTGAAAATTTTAGTGTTATTTTATTGTCCAATGCGTTTCATGTACTCCAATTTAATATTACATATTTATTGTAAGGTCCAATGAATGGCTGAAAAACCACTAAGGAAGGATGTAAATAAATTGAGAAAAAGGCTGCAAGTACAAGAAAAAAATACAAATTTTCTACATAATTTAGAATTCCGCTCACGTAGAGTGGTGGGGCCCACATAAATTAAATATTTCTAAAAAAATTGGGACCAACCAATTATGTGTATTCTGTCCATTTTCTGTGAGTAATTTCTTGTACGTTTAGCATTGCTCATAAATTAAACAACGTCTACGCTGCTGTTGCTGCTGTTTTTGTGTTTTTAATGAATCTTGTGCCTTTTTTTTTTCCAACACATGGGTCCCAATAGAGAGTCAAAAACAATCGGAGCTATTAAAATGAGACAAAAAAATGAAAACAAACAGCACCTATTTATTAAACATGCTTTTAGACTACGTGCACGTTTGACGCAAAATTTTTGAGAATTTTTAGGACAATGTCTGATTAAAAAATAAGGAGAATTATGAGTTTATGTATAAAAATTATTTTATTCAAAAAATGCATAATTAAAAATAAATTTTAAAAAACTTTTCGCTTGTTTAGGCTCTGTATATTAGGTCCATGTTTGAGAACAATTTTCAAATTATATTTGGTAAAAAATGATTTTTTTGGACTCTGTATACTGTTTCCATGTTTGAGCCCCATTTTTTAGATTAGATTTCGTAAAATGTGATTTTAAAATAAAATATATATGATTAAAAAGTATGAAAATTTTGATTTGCATGCACAATATTACTTTATTGAAAGAAAATATGATTGAAAATGTTATGAATTTTAAAGATTGATGCTCATATGGGTTACAAGATGACAGTTGAAACATCTCAAACTATAAATCGGTCAAATTTACTCCTAAAGATTGAGGCTCAAACACAACATATTAGTCCCTATTTGACAACCATTATTTGAAAATTCTTTTTTCTTCGTACTTATTTTCAACAACAAATTCATATAATAAAATATCCTGACTTTTTTCTTTTTAATTATACATTTTTCTAAAAATTATTATTCAAACTATTTTTTTCTCAAATAATGATTGTCGAACAGGGCTAATTTCCCTTGGCCACAATTTGAGCCCATTTTTATTTTTATGTAAAACATGTGGTTTAAGGAAGANAAAAAATTGGGACCAACCAATTATGTGTATTCTGTCCATTTTCTGTGAGTAATTTCTTGTACGTTTAGCATTGCTCATAAATTAAACAACGTCTACGCTGCTGTTGCTGCTGTTTTTGTGTTTTTAATGAATCTTGTGCCTTTTTTTTTTCCAACACATGGGTCCCAATAGAGAGTCAAAAACAATCGGAGCTATTAAAATGAGACAAAAAAATGAAAACAAACAGCACCTATTTATTAAACATGCTTTTAGACTACGTGCACGTTTGACGCAAAATTTTTGAGAATTTTTAGGACAATGTCTGATTAAAAAATAAGGAGAATTATGAGTTTATGTATAAAAATTATTTTATTCAAAAAATGCATAATTAAAAATAAATTTTAAAAAACTTTTCGCTTGTTTAGGCTCTGTATATTAGGTCCATGTTTGAGAACAATTTTCAAATTATATTTGGTAAAAAATGATTTTTTTGGACTCTGTATACTGTTTCCATGTTTGAGCCCCATTTTTTAGATTAGATTTCGTAAAATGTGATTTTAAAATAAAATATATATGATTAAAAAGTATGAAAATTTTGAATTGCATGCACAAAATTACTTTATTGAAAGAAAATATGATTGAAAATGTAATGAATTTTAAAGATTGATGCTCATATGGGTTACAAGATGACAGTTGAAACATCTCAAACTATAAATCGGTCAAATTTACTCCTAAAGATTGAGGCTCAAACACAACATATTAGTCCCTATTTGACAACCATTATTTGAAAATTCTTTTTTCTTCGTACTTATTTTCAACAACAAATTCATATAATAAAATATCCTGACTTTTTTCTTTTTAATTATACATTTTTCTAAAAATTATTATTCAAACTATTTTTTTCTCAAATAATGATTGTCGAACAGGGCTAATTTCCCTTGGCCACAATTTGAGCCCATTTTTATTTTTATGTAAAACATGTGGTTTAAGGAAGAAATTTTTTTTTTTTGAATTTAAATGAGAAATTATTTTAACGAAAGAACACCTAATTGAAAATGAGTATAAAAAACTATTTTTTAAAAAAATGTGACTCAAATATTAACTTATAAATAAAACTTATTTGGAGCATCTTTGTGCACAATTTTTTTTTTTGCCTAAAATATATTTTGGAATAATATTTTGATGGAAATTGAATTGTTGAAAAATAAGGAATAATTTTGAATTTACGTGTAATATTATTTTATTGAAAAATGTGTAACTGAAAAAAAAAAAGTATTTTAAAAACAATTGGTAGCCTATAATTAAAAAGGGGTTAATCAATTTGTACATAATGGTTTGTACATAATGAATTACCCCCTCTCACATAATGTGCGGAATCTGCGTGTATTTAAAAATTTGGACATTGTGGTCCCCATCTCTATTGTAAGTTGTAGGTAAAAAAATCGGTACATGTAGTAGTATGATCCATTAAAAAGTGGGCACTTGGAAAAAAGAGACCAACAAAAAAGACTAATAGATAATCAACGGAAACAAAAAGGGTGGTTGAGAACTGAATTCGACAGCTAATATTATTATATATATTTGTTGGAGCCTCATTTTTTTATTAAAATATATTTTCAAACAGTGATTTGCTCTCATTTGATCTTATTTCAATTACACATTCTTCAAATTTAATTTTTTTTTTTAATTTATTAAACGAACATTATGTATCATGACAATATTATAAAATACATTTTTTGAACAAAATGGGGGCTTAAACAAGGTTGTACCGCGCTTTTCAGCCGTCCCTACTTTCAAATTAATTAAAGAAATAAGTGAGAAACAAATAGTAGCTGGATTTTTTCATAAATTCTCAAATGGGAAAAATTGCTTTTTCTTGAATAGAATATACGAATTATATATGCTCAATTATATATATTCCAATCTTTCTTGTAAGACTCTAAAATATTGTCTAACAATAGACAAACTTGGCGGATTTTCCAATCAAAACGACCTATCATCAATCTGGTTCTTCTTTACTAAACCCTTTTTGTTTTCTTGATCAGAGCCTATCATTGACTTTTCTTGGATCAAAATTCTAAAAATCATGGCTGTGGTGGGGGATTTATCTCTAAAGTTTAGTGGAAAAGAAACCATATGTGATGTCAAGAAGGGGGCGTTTGGGTTTCCAATTTCAAGTCCTAGAATTAGTTTTAGTGCAGGGAAATTGAAGAATTGTAGGGTTAAAACTGGGGTGTATGCAGTAATGCAAGTGGGGGTGGAAAGCACTGAAATTTCTAAGGATTTGGAGAAATCTAAAGAGGTTTTGGGATTGGATGTTGTGTCTGAAGAGGAACTGAAGGAGAAGGGTTTTTTGGGGTTGAGGAAGACGAAGCTTGTGTGCACGATTGGTCCGGCGTGCTGTTCTTCGGATAGTTTGGAGAAGTTGGCATTGGGAGGGATGAATGTGGCTCGGCTTAATATGTGCCATAACACAAGGGAGTGGCACCAAGATGTCATTAGGAAGATTAAGAATTTGAATGAAGAAAAAGGGTTTTCTGTGTCTGTGATGATTGATACTGAAGGCAGTCAGATTCAGATTGTTGATCATGGAGCTCCATTCTCTGTCAAAGCAGAGGTAATCAATCTAATCCATTTCAGTGGAAATAATTTTTACATTTTCTTAATTTTTTATTCCATCGAGCCTAATCATATTGTACATTTATCTCCTTGATTGCGGATTGACATAATTTTTTAACTATGTAAAGGATTTTATTAGGCAGTCGATTTTGGAGGGCAAGATAGGTGTGAGAAAAACTTGTTTTCTTGTTTTTTGTCACTGTTAAACTTGTAATAACTCTTACATTGAGGGTGGCCTTCTTTATGTCTATATGTGCTTTGCTCATTTTGTGACTACTTTTAGGTTTATACGTGCTCTTAACTGTAGTTAGTAGGGCTTAATCCATAACACATGATAGTTGATTGAAATGAATTATTGATTTTGTACCTATAGGATGGCTCATTCTGGGATTTTACTACTGAAAAATTTGAGGGTACTCGTCCATTTACAGTTCAAGCAAACTATGAAGGTTTCTCTGAAGGTAAGTTTGTTAATGCAAGAATATCCTTAAGTTTTCCTTTTTTTTTTTAATAGCAATATTGTACAATTGTTTTTATTAACGATTTTGCTCTTATTTAGGTATAAACGTGGGCGATGAGCTTGTTATTGATGGAGGAATGGCTACCTTTGAAGTTGTGGAAAAGATTGGGAATGATTTGCGTTGCAAGTGCACAGACCCTGGTTTACTCCTTCCCCGTGCCAAACTGAGCTTCTGGAGAGATGGAAGGCTTGTCGGGAGAAGTGATGAGCTTCCAACTCTGTCAACCAAGGTTATACAAGTTTCATTTTCCACTTTCTCCTCGTTAGTTATGTGATATTCACTTATAGTCCCGGGAATGAATTGGCATGTGTATCATTATTTTGTTTCAACAATCCAGAGGTTCATCTTTCAGTTTTTCAGGAAAAGAAATTACTAACCCCATGTGAACTTAACGCCGACGAATTTCACCACAGTCATCTCATTTATGATGTTCAGACTCGTGTACAGATATGTATCCAAGTGTCGGATCTTTAATTTTCTAAAATATAGAATACGAGGACATGGCTAAAAAAAGTCCAAATTTCGAACACGGGTATGTGAGTACGTCTTTTAAATTTCAATTTTTTTTTACTAATTCAAGATATCTTTTTGAATAGACCAAAATCAATTATTCATAAAGAATGAAATGGGTATTGAATAAGGGGTTAAGACGAATAAAATTGAATTTGGGGTTTTGATTTTCAATTATGGAAATTATTAAGTATTATATAAATAGAAAATGAGGGACTTGATTTCAATTTGAATTTAGTGGAGCACTAAATAACACTATATAGAATCATTTTCATTTTATACAAATAAAACGCTACACCACCGATACAGAGAGAGAGAGAGAAGGAAAAAAAAAGAAGAAAATGGAAAGAAAAAGAAAGAAGGAAAAGAAGGAAATGCATAGCGCCATCGCCTTTCTCCACCTTCTCAGCGATGATGGTAGATTTATAGAGAGCAGAAACGAGAAGAAGAAAAGGGAAAGAAAAGGAAAAGAAAAAAAAAAAAGAAGCACAAGTGAAGTATCCAGTTGAAATTTGGAGGATCCGACACATATTTCATACCCATACACATGTTGTGTCATGTCCGACACGGTTGCTCCGACTATTTCAAAGAGTCCGAGCATCAGGGCATCTCTTTATTCATATGATCTTTCTAAACTCTTTCTTACCGTTGCTGCAAGTGATTCTGAGAGTTTAAAAATATGGAAATTCTGTGTGAATCTATGATAATTGTAGTGGTAAACAATTTGCATGGCTTTATTTGAAATTGTTTGTTTGGAGATGTAGGTTGTCCTTAGCCAATATAAATTTGTTCCCATATTTCTGATTCGTGCATTGTGATTTACAGGATTGGTCCGATATTGAGTTTGCGATTTCTGAAGGTGTTGATTTTATTGCCTTGTCGTTTGTCAAAGATGCTGATGTTGTCACACACCTTAAGAAATACCTTTCCACCAAATCCTCTGAGTAAGCAAATTTCTGAAAGAGATAAACAGATGAATAACGTTTTGATTCAGCCACTATACTATAGTAGTTTCCATCTCATATTAGCACTTTATTTTTGCATTTGACTGCAATATCCGCTGTTCATGTTAATCAGCCGATTCGATTTTATTTATTTATGTTGTTTTTCTTACTATAACATTATCCACTAGCATGTATGGCCAAGCCTAAAAAATAAAATTTACTTAAAGCTGAAAAGGTAATTTTTATTAAGCTTAAATCAAACATAAGCACGTTTGGGAAACATTATAATTTTCTTATAATTTAATGGTTAAAGTCAAATATTAATTTTTACCGCACATTTCTTAAGATCCACAACTACTAACTTTTTTTATCACATTATAATTTCAGCAACTTATAATTTTATCCAAACAAGCAGCTATATGTCTAAGCTTAGAAGTTACTTATAAATTTTTTTGCCAACCTTTTTTGTTGAAAAGAAGTAAAAGTATCTCTTGCTTCAAAAGCTTACTTTTTATTTTTAAGAAGTATGTATTCACTTCTCAAAACAGTATGTTTACTTTTTTCTTTCTGGACTTAGGCAAACATGCTCATTGTGCAGTGTGGATCTTGTGGCACATTATATGGATGCATAAATTGGTAGAGCTCGTGGAGCTCACGCACTACCAGAGTGTCTAATTTTTTCTCTTTTATCTTTTTGTGCCAACTATTTCTAAAATGCTAAAAGCATCTTTTAGAATTCAGTATATGATGTTCGATTATCAATTCACAGATCAATAAAAGTTTTGGCAAAGATAGAGAGTTTGGAAGCCCTCCATAAATTGGACAAAATTATTGAGGCTTCTGATGGAATTATGATAGCAAGAGGAGACCTTGGAGTCGAAATCCCACTCGAACAGATTCCAACAGTGCAGGAGGAAATTACTTATCGCTGCAGAAAGTTCAACAAGCCAGTTATCATAGCCTCTCAGCTTCTGGAATCAATGATCGAATATCCTACTCCAACAAGAGCTGAGGTATTCTACTCCAACAATTTGCCAAATTAATAGCAGACGTATCAAAAAATGACATCTCTCCCCATTTTCAGACACAACATATTTTTTATCACTTTGCTTCATCTATCCTGCCAAACATGTCACATTCTCTTCAAATTGAATTTATGGTGTAAAAAAACAACCAACAAACTATGTTTTATTTTCACTAAAGGTTTGGGCATTCGGCTACATGAATCCTTTTCGTCACTCTTTTCGGGGTATTATTAGTCCACTCCTCTCTCTTGTGATATTTTCAATCTAAATGGCATTACTCTTACGAATGGGAGCCTCTTTAGGTCTATGCAAAACTATGTCCCATCCTCCTAACTTGTCTGTCCCTTAATTTCTATCCTCAATCGACACTACCCCACTTGTTGGCTTGTATTTATTTGTTTTATCCATTTAAGTTGAAACCACGCATCCATCTCAGCATCCTCATGTCCACTATATTCATCTTATGGGCATTCAGCATGGCAGGTCTAACCATTGTTTCAGGTTGCTGATGTTTCTGAAGCTGTCCGGCAATATGCTGATGCACTGATGCTCTCTGGAGAATCGGCAATAGGTCCATATGGCCAGAAGGCTCTATCTGTTTTAAGGATGACTAGCGGACGAATGGAACTATGGAGCCGTGAAGAGAACAGGGAAACCGTTTTATTTGAGCATAAACTCGGATCATCTGTTCCAGACCAAATTGCTGAGCAAATCTGTTACTGTGCTGCTGGAATGGGTATGTCTTCAGTCTTCTTCTGCAAGTTAGAAGTCATTACATGAAATATTTGGTGGTCTCTTAAATAACTTAGCCCATGTTTGGCACTCATTCTCGTTCTCATTTTTTCTCTTTCTTCATTTTAACCACGCATTCTCCACACAAATCTAAAATTTTTCATAATTTTTCCACCACACATTCTCTCATCAATCACTATTCCAAAAATTCTATTCTCCAAAAAATGAGTGTCAAACACCCCCTTAATATGATCTCTTTACAACGAATATATAAGCTTTTGAGGAAAACGGAAACGCCTTTCATTTTTATTTCTTTCTTTCTAGGATCATAATATTTCATTCGAACATAACTATAAAGAAAACTCAAGGAAGTGGCGTAATCTTTCTAATTTGTAAATAACGTTAATTTCTTCACTAGTAGTTTATAGGATTCATGGTATTCAGGGTACAAAGATAAGTCGATTTAATTTACCTTTAGAGTATGTTTGGTATGTACTATTGGATGATATTGGACACTACAATGGAGATTTTAGCTTTTGTTCATCCTTAGTACAATCCCAATATTATAGTCCGCATTACCCAACATGCCATTCGTTTATCATGCAAAATTACTGATACCTACGAACTAACAAGAGCAACAATAACTAGTGTAAGCTTCACCTTGACTGACAGTTTATTCTCAAATGCAGCAAACAACCTAGGACTGGATGCCATATTTGTCTACACAAGACATGGACAGATGGCTTCTCTCATCTCACGCAACCGTCCAAATTCGCCGATATTTGCATTCACAAATGACAGCAGTACAAGAATGGCACTCAATTTGCAATGGGGAGTTACTCCTATTCTCATTGATTTATCAGATGACATGGAAGCCAACATCAACAGATCAATCAATCTTATTAAAGCAAAAGGTTTGATTAAGGACGGAGATGCAGTTTTAGTAGTTTCAGATATAATCCCAACTTCCGCCGCACAGACAGTTTTCCAGTCAATTCAGGTGAAAACTGTTGCTTGATTTATAGACATGAATGTTTGTATGGGAAACGATGTCTCTGATATTCGTCCCATGTAAGTGTCGCAGAAATATTTGTTTCCTTAAGAATAACAAGTTGTGTTGGATCACGAAACAAAATGGAGGGATTTTTCTAAATGACCTCCTTACTTTCTGAATTTTAGTTTATAAAGCTTGTTTTTTAATGTAAAATGCTTTGTACTATTTTTGGTTTACACCTTATTTTGAATCAACTAATTCATGGACACAAATAGTTCATGGGAGAAAATCCAGTTAATTGGGCCCCATAAGCTCTTCTGCAGTTTTCACTACTTGCTTCAGTTTCGTCTTCAGATAGGCCTTCTCATAGCTTGGATCTAGTTGTTGGAAAAATGAAAAAAAAAAAAATTAGAGAAAAATGAAGTGAATGACAATTGTAACAACAAATTTACCCCCTGGTTGGCATCCAAAATTGGATTTTGAGAAAAAATGTATTTTGAAATTGTAATTTTTTAAAGAAAAATTTTGGGTTCATGTATAATATTATTTTATTAAATAATATATGGTTGAAAATAAGGGAGAGAAATGTATTTTGACAAAAAAAAAAAAAAAATGGAGCCCAATTGAACCTCATTTTTTGTGTAGAATATATTTTGGAATAGTAGATTAATGTATAAGTTTTTATTTAAAAAAAAGGGAAAAAATTTGAGTTTACGTGTAATATAATTTTATTAAAAAAAAAGCTTAATATGTATTTTTAGAAAAAATGGGGATCAAACGAAAGCTTAATATGTTTCAATTCTCTAATTAATTGTTTCAATTGAATTGGTGGTTACAAAGCTCTAACAATTTTATGTTAATGTAAATTAATGAAAAATTGAAACTCGTCTTCTACTAGTACTATATAAGAAGGTCTCGTTATCTCTTCTATAAATTTCTCTTTCCTTTTTTGTTTCAAGAGTTTTGTTCTTAGTAGTTTAAATAGTTTTTTCTTCTAACTCCGTGATAGAAATGTGAGCATTCTTAGTTCGTTTAAAGTAGTAATGAAATGTTAGTCAAGTGCTTTTAACCGTTGTATCTTAAGAAACAGACGCAATCAGAGCAACACTATTTTCGATTTCTTCCAATGCCTCTACTATATCGACAATCAGATTTCTTCTATTTTATTATTACTCTGTTTATTGTGGCATTTCTTTCCATTATTTTTTAAATTCTAGCAGTATTTCTAATTTCCTCGTGCATTTTTCTTAACAGTAGTAACTAACCTGGCAAAAATATACTTGTAACTTTCTTCTAATGGATATGAACCTACTGTTTCAAAATTAATCCTCATCATCAAACTTGATATTGGAAGTTCTGAAGAAATGAATCAAAAATAATGGCTGAGAGCAACATATGAGCATTCAAAACCACTGGCAGTAAAGCATAGTTCAACAAAAAATACGATCGGGGGTTAAAACAACAATGAAGTTCCACTAACCATTCACACATCCAACACACAACCTATCGAATTTCGGTATAACAGAGCTAAACACCTCAGTACTTGTCCCCTTCATCGCAATCCTTATCAGTTGCCTCATTTTATTGTGAGATTATGATGATTTGAACATGTTATAAACTTGCAATAAACTGTTATGTACGTATAGCATCACCCAACACATAAACATGTTATAAACTTGCAAATACTCTATTAACTCTTACGGATATAACGATAACAGGGTGAAAAAATTACCTGAATGCCATGCTCGAGGCAATAAAGTTCCCAGCAGCATTTCCCACCTGAATACCTGCCTGGCCAATGCGAACAAAAATGCACTTTCTCGTTTTTCAATGGAAATGGTAAGAAAAAATGCCAAGGAAAAGGAAAATTTGAAGAAGATTGAAATGGTAAGGAAAAATGCCAAGGAAAAGGAAAATTTGAAATAATTAGCTTATATGTTGCCAATGATGGAATGCGGAAGCGAAATTATCCAGAAATTAAAAAAAAAAAAATCTTTAATTCA